ACCATTAACACCGCTAAATGGCAACAATTTTTACGGCCGTTGAATAGTGAATCGTTGATTTGAGAAGCCGGTGTAAATAATTTAATTCAAACGCTCGTAAGAAATTAGCTGAGCAATTTGTTAATGCAACGGTATAAGAAATATTGATAATAATATTTATATTTGACGTGCGTAATTTCTTCAATTTGCTCTTTTTTGTGCTGTGGAGATAACCGATTTCGCAAATGAGCGGCTTATATGTTGAGGAAAAGTTTAATTTTAAACTCTTACTACGCATTACTTCACGCTACGCTACCAAAAAATGATTCCAGTCGCACCAATAAATCAACTTACCAATCGATGCGCCCGGTGCACGTTGAAATTTCTCGTCCTGAGGAACCTAATTAGGAAGTCGTTGTCCATCCTGTGCGGAAGGCATTCTCCCCTCTCTGTTAAACACACATCGTACAAAAAAAGAAGCGAAATTCTTTATCCTTCACCATTTTCCTTAACATATTTTTTCTCTTCCCAACTATAATTAGATATTATTTTGCATATACTCATTTTTATCTTTTTTTCTTTGTTACACAAGCGGATTGAATTATGGCTGCTTAAAGTTGCGAAACTGTAATTTTTTCGAATCTAAGATAAATGCACGGTGTCGTTTGTTTATCGTCAACGTATAACCAGGTAAAGTTGCGTAAGTGTATAGTTGTAACATGCAATGATGTATCGCATAGTTGATGAATAAAATCAGTGAAAAGGTAATTTCACATTAATCGTCAAAGTAAGTAGTCAAGACTAATTCTAAAAATCTTCCAAAAATTGTCAATTGTCGGAATCAGCTGATTTTCAAAATCTTCTCCTCTGGGAGATTAAGTTTCCGCACTTTCGTAATTTCACCATCGGAACGACGATCTACTGTTTAACTCTGTACGCTATTTCGTCCTCGTACACGCAACGGGGACATCAGAAAATGAAGTAAATAAAAAAAAAATCACGTGATATTCAAGTATCCCTTTCTAATTACCAAATATCATATCCCTGAATTCGTGAAGAGTCCTACACTTCGCGTCTTCCGTTTCTCCAAGCTCCCTCCTCGCGTACTCCATCACTTCCGGTGAGGGTTCTCCAAGATCCAAGCACACTTCCTCATCGTTCACCTGGACCTCTTCGTCCTTCAGTTCAGGCATTCCGTTTGCGTCCTCCAGGCGTTTTCTAGCATCGGCCTCGCCGTTTCCAAGGGTGTCCTCCTCCTCCTCGTTCAGAATCTCCCTACGGTCGTTCCTCAAGGTTCGACCATCGATCTCGTTCTCCTGCGGCATGATGCGGCTTCGCGTGATACGTGATCGACTGTGTTTCGCGAGTGCCACGACCAGGACTCGTGGATCACGTCATTCGACGTCGAGATGTCGTATCAAGGGAGAGAGAGAGAGATAACCTCAATTGCAAGCGCGACTGTCACCGTTCCTATACCAACTTTCAACCGGTTTCGCCTTTCCGCCACTTTGTCCCCTTCGTTTAGGCTCTCCTTTTGTTTTAACGAATTTTCACCAAGTTTTCGCGTTTCGGCAAACTTTGCTGAGACACCCTCGTGGCTTTTCTTTATCGATTTGGTTACGTTCGAGGGTGATTGGAAATGAAACAGTGAGAAACTTTTTAGGACTAGAGAATTTTTCTGAATTTTAGAATTCTAGGGAATTCGGAGAGGCTATTCGAATTACAACGGAGAACTTTCAAATATGCTTTGGTAACAAATTCTGGGATCTTTTATATTAATTTGACGAGTGCTTAGAACATTGCGAAATTAAATCCTGGCGAAATTTTCCGAATTTCGGATAATTCTAGGGAATTCTGAGAGGCCTTTCCGGAATTCTTCAACGTTTTGGAAAAATGTAGTTTTAGGAAATTATAGAGGATTCTAATGCAAGATTCTTAACACATGCTACCGAATTTCGCGTGAATGTTACAAACGCTTAGATCTTTATCAGATTACACGAGAGGTGATACATATTCCAAGTGATCGTGCGCATTACAGTAATGAATGCAAATTGCACGCAACGCCTCTAAACGTATCCTCGTCGAACCAGCAGTAAACATTCACGAAGATAATAACACATCTATTTTTTCTATGGCCACCGTGATCCACCGGTCACGTGAGGCGCGCACCAAGCCTCCTTCCGGTTCCAACAGGATCTTTTCAAGAAACGGAGTATCTCGTATTACGAAACTCTTAGCCAACCAGCGTTCGCACGGTGACTCGAGCACAATGCAACCAGACTTTCTCCCTGAAAAATACGCTGTACAAGGCCGATCGTTCATTTATAACCGCTCTCATCCATTCCACAGACTGCAGCAGTCGGTCCTTTTACAATTCTCAACGTTCACAATGGGAACAATACAATCACAGAAACTTGGTCTAAGCACTTTTGTCAACCTCTCTAAAAAGCACAAAATTAAAAAGAAAAATGACAAATATTTCTCAAAATAGTTCGCAAGATTTCAATAAATGAAATTTTGAAATGGGGAAAACGCTTTTCGTCTCCCTCAATACCAATGACGCCACAACGAGATTGTGTCGTCCTTTTGTTCCATTACCGCGCGAATTTAAGGAATTTTAACGAATTTTTATGGACAAAAATAGTTTTGTGTTATCTCTTCACTACAGAGAATCACAGTATTCCGGTAAATCAGATTTTGGAATAGGTGAAACACTTTTTTCAACTTCCTCAACACCAATGATACCTCGAACGTCAACAAGACTACGTCATCCTCTTGATCTATTATCACACGACTTCCAGTAATTTCGATGAATTTTTACGAACGACTTTTAACGATTTTTCCCTTCGAAACAGAAATTCCCTGGCAGTTTCGAGGAAAACACATTCACTGAAATGGCGATTGAAACGCGAGCGCAGAGCCGATCGCGCAGCGACGCCGGTCGGTGATGCAACTGGCTGCAACTACGTTGCATCGGCTCGAAGTGCATCGCGGTTTCCCTCTTACCTGCGGCCTCACCTTTGAGAACACTTAGATACTGAAGGAAACGTTCCTGCCCGGTTCAAGTTCTCCGCGATTTCTCAAAATTCCTCTTTCCACGCGTATTGCTATTAGCATAGATTAACATATTTAAGATCGGCGCATTTGTGCAACCGAATTTAGTCGTCAGAAGGAAGGAAAAATAAAAGGGCGATTTAAATACCAGTATTCGGGATCGGTGGAATTTTTCGTGTTCCACTTTGACTGGAAGAGATTCGCAAAAAGGAATTCCAGGTCAAATGAAAGTACGTAAAAGACAGAAAGGAATCAGATTGATAAGATTGCAACAGAGAATTGCACATATCCACTTTGGTGAAACGTGTAAAGTTCAAGGCACCCAGGCTTGCAAATAAAAATAGGCTGAAAGCCAGTTTCGAACGAAACGATCCGTACAGAAAGTCATCGACCGTATTAAAAACATGTTGGCCACCGTTCAGTATAACGATCGACTTCATGAGTAACAACCTGATTGCATATTAGCTTGTGGTAATTCATAGGTTTAACGAAATTTCTGATTCTCTAAAGGGATTATTAGCGTTTGTGCGTATTTCATCGATGATCCTCTGTTAGATGACGACTTCTATATTTTAATTTTGCCAGAATTTCACTTCCTCTCTCATATCGTTATAAATGAAAAAAGAAAGAAATGAAGCATTTGGTAATTTAGGAATAATTCAAATTGTAACTCTAGGATCAAACAATTTGCAAGTATAATTATCAACATAAATGAAAAAGGAGAAAAGATGCTTTTGGTAATTTAGGAATAATTTGTGTTATAACACGAATTGCATTTTTTTGATTTAGGATTTACTGATTAAACGTTGATACTCGAGCTTATACACTATCGGCCAGAAGTTTGGAATCACTGTGCATTACAATTTACACAAAAATTGTCAAAAAAAGTCAGCAGTTTTAAGAATTTTTTAACGAATTTTGTATCATTCAAATCAATCGATATGAGATAATTTGCTATTTATCTCCACAATATCAATATCAAGTCTATGAAAAATTAGTAGCAGATTCAGTACAGATGAAAATTGGGAGGTGATTCCAAACTTTTGGCCGGTAGTGTATATTTTACACATTCATTCATCATAAAATTAAAATTTTACATTGTAAGCGATGTAACTAAATTCTTCTTTAAATTTAACGTTTTTCCTTTTTAATGTAAATACTATTTACACAGGTATTCGATTATACGGATGATTGAGTAAGTTATCGTAGAGCTTTGAACGTTTAACGATGGTTAGGAGATCGCGACAGAGTGCGAAGTGTCTGTGATCTTTCTGAAAAGCGATTTCTTCTCTGGAAACATAGTCAGGAGGACGTAATGCTGGAGAAAGTTTTATAGGTAGGACGCAAACACTGTTGAGCGTATAAATGCATGAATTAAAGGAAAGACGGCAAGGTCGGTTGAATGATCGTCCATTGATTCGGCGAGATAGCAACGATAGACTGAGACACGCTCGGTGGACTGAGCAAAGTAGACTGTTTCTGTGGAAACTTGGAATGGAAATTTATGGAAGAGATTGTAAATGAGATAAGAAGCAATTTATGTGATATATCGTTTAAAGCTGTTGCGTGCACTTAAATGGGAATAGTGGAAGAATAAAAGAAACAATTTTCTTGAATAATTTTTGCATTAGAATGTCTTAAAGTGGCGAAACAATCGCTTTTCTGAAGAATTTGTTCCCAGGATATTATACTGGGTGACTTTAGCTACTGAATCAGGATGTGGCTTTATTCTCCGAGAAAAATGCAATGATATTTTTAATTTTTACTCTTTCGAGTCATTCTGTGCGTTGAGAATACTTAGCGATAGCGTAGTTTTGCTGAAGAGAATGAAGTAAGGAAGGAGATGAAAATTAGGCTCTGTTCTGATAATGCAATATGTTTCTTCTTCTTTTTAGTCACTTTTTGTATTAAAAATGTTTACTAATAGTGTACTCTTGGTGAAAGTGAAAAGGTAGGCTAAGAAAGAGGTTACAGATTGATTTTAGCTGCTGAATTAGGCTCTATTCTGAAAATGCAACGTTTTTCTTCCTTTTTTTAGTCATATTTGTATTAAAAATACTTACTAATAGTGTACTTTTGGTGAAAGTGAAGAAAGTAAGAAGGTAGACTAAGAGAGGAGTTGCAGAGTGATTTTAGCTGTTGAATTAAGCTCTATTCTGAAAATGTAGTGTTTTTCTTCTTTTTTTTTAGTCACTTTTGTGCTAAAAATACTTAGTGTACTTTCGGTGAAAGTGAAAGACTAAGAGAGAGGTTGCAGAGTGATTCTGAAAGCAAAGTGCAACTTAAGTTATTCTGTGTATGAAAAATATTGGTTAAAAGTGTATTTTTGGTGAGAACGAAGAAAACGATGTAAAGAAGAAGGTGAGAAGAAGGTAGATTAACAGAGAGATCGGTCGAATGACTGAAAGTGAAGGTTAGATCGAACGAGAGTAATAGGGAGCCGAGTGAAATTCAATGAGTAGATTATAGTGGATATGGAGTTCCATTATTCGGCTTCTACGGATCGATAGACACTGCAGTCTCAAGAGCAACTTCGACCAATCTTTACATTTATATCTCGAGAAGATTTATCCCGTTAAACCAGTAGACTGAAAGTAGTATCTGACAATTGAAAACGAAGGTTAGGCGGAACGAGTAGAATTGATAATGGACGTAGAGTTCCATTATTGGGCTCCATACAGATGAAGAAACGGTAGAAATTCCAGGGTAATATTGGACAATTATTACATTCATATTTCTAGAAAATTGTTTTCCCCGTAGAAAATTAATTGGATGCGGCATCAAACGATTAAGTACCAAGCTTGGATTTAACGAAGATAATAGAAATTATAATTACACCTTTCACGAATGGAACAACTTCGATATACTCTTGTTTTTTATCAAAATAATTCACTCTCGTGACACTTATGTTTTTCAAATAATTAATTCCTTCGCGGAAAATAAATCGGCAGCAGGATCGAAGCGTTTAACGTGAAAGTTAGCACGAATCAGCTAATAGAAATTATAATTACACGTTCCTTGCATCGAGCAATTTCAACCGTATACCTTAGATGCACTCACATTCATCGTAAAAGTCTTTTGTTTCTGCATCTTTCGCAAAAAATTAATTGAAAGCAGGATCAACCGTTAAACGTGAAATTTCGATGAAACAAGGAATAGTACAAACTACAATTAACACATTTTCCACGAATCAAGTAAATTCAACCATGCTTCACGCTTTTCATCAAAATTTTTATAAAAACAACGTAAACACACCAACATCGAGATCAATTTTACACCATTTATTTTTACGACACATTTAATTTGATATCCTTCGGAAGAAATTCATCGAGAGCAGGATCGACTATTAAGGTCTTCTAGTGTGACGGTTTCAAACAATCGATTGTTATTTTTTTTTTGCATACATCGAAAGTACAACTCTTTAAGAATGTACTCCTGACGTTTTATAGTTGTATTCGATAAAATAACGAAGTTATAGCTCGTTTAGTGTGACACATCAAAGGCCGGCGACAGGGAGAATGTAAATTGCACTGAAAACTTTAAACGCGTTCTCCTCGGAAGCATGTTTTCTGAAAACCACTGAACCAATCGAACTGAAATTTTGCACATGTCTTCAGAACATGTGTGGCTATGGTCGGTAGTAAAATTATGCCAAAATGTACATTTTTCTAATTTTCAGAGCCTCTGAAAGACGAAAAAAGTCGAAAAAATCGATACTTCGCATTCAAAGTACCGCCACTTTTTTAATTTTCAATATTTTTCTTTTATTCTACTAACGACCACAGCGACATGCATACTAAATAAGAATCAATTGGATTTTTTAATTTCTGATAAGCAGAACAGCTCAAGTCATGTCAACCATGGACCTACTTTTTCTTTTCATGCTCCTGTTCGACGTGTTCCACAGCAGCCATATTTAATTATTTTTCAACAACAAAAAATTTGTAACGATTCTTCAAGGACAAGTAAATACATAGGAACAAAGCTCGTGTTAATAACTTTCACCGTACTTCTGTAATAAATTAGCAAAGGAGGGCCTAAAAAAACGGCCGTCACACTAGAAGACCCCCTTAAATACGGTCAGATTAAACAAGAATAAAATGAAATTACACACTTTAACCGTTCTTTATGCTCCTGTTTTTCCTAAAAATTTATTACAACTTTTATGAGAAACAATACAAACACCGTAGTATATCAAGACCGATGTTATCTGTTCGATGCAATTTTCGATCAATTTCATTTTACCAGAAATTTGCCCATTTTCTCCGGGATCCTGCGCAACCGTCAAAGTCAAAGAGAGAGAATTGCATCAGAACCGGTTCGGTATTAGAATTGCATCAACACTGTAAACAAATTAGACGGTCGATCGCTAGCGAGACGCATCGGTTGCTGGCGGTACAGCGTTACCAAAGATATCGTCGAGTTGCGAAATGTGTCACGGCCATCCTGTTGCATCCACGGCTCGGTGCTTTCACTAACAACCGCGAGTGGTACGCGACTTTTGTCGTGGGTGCATTTACGATCCACGTGCACAGGGATTGGAGAAAGTAAAAGTAAGAATCTCACGACTATGAGCATACTATCTGCGTTACTTCCTCGTTTTCTGACACGTTCTATAAATAGTACACCTGATTGCCTTTACTGCCCATAATAACGCGTTAAAAATATGATCCTAAGCGGAATAAATACTCTGGATAAATACACTACACGTTCAATTAAATCTCTGGCGTAATAACAATGGAAGCGTTCAATTTGTTCCGCGGGCGATTTTAAACGGACGTGTTTTAGCATTTTCATTGATGC